ACGCTTCTAACCTTTTCTTTTACGCCGCTCCCACTGTCCATGTTTCGCACCCGTACAACGCCGTGCTCCAAACATACACCTTTAACAACCTTTTTCGAATGTCTAAATTAACCGTTCGCGAGCATAGAAGTGACTTCCTTTTAGTAAAGGCGACACGACCCTGCGCTATCCTCTGCTTTATATCCTTACTACTCAATTTTAGCCTACTTTTAATAAAATAATTGAGGAACATAGAAATTGCAGGGAACTATCACAGGATAAGTGAAGACGGTGAACCTCCTCACCACCCTGTATCTTCCTGATGATGCTTTCGACACTTGACTCGCTACTCGACTTCTTTATTATAATTATTGATTCCACTGTTTTAACACGGTAGATAAGTAGATGTTAGCTTGCAGTTTTAAATAAATAATTAAGACATTTTAACTTTGTACCAGTGATCTAAATATGGGTACTACGTAACAGTACCTACCATTTCCACGTTGGCTTATTGAGGTCCCGTACGTTTTCAAAACTAACCGAGCGGAATGGCCTAGAGGTCTAGACCATTGCTTAGCATTCGGGAGTACGCGGGTTCGATTCCGGGTCCGTCTGTCTGCCTTGGTCCAAGTTTTTCTGTGGTTTCCTTGGATCACTTAGGCAAATGCTGAGGCAGTAATATTCCACAGATAATCTTTCACTCTCTTCTGTCTTCATTTCGTCCGTCTCATCTTTCTCACCCGAACCACCACCCACCCATTCCCACGATTCCTGAAAGCGGGCTGAAGATGGCCTTCCGCCCTATCTTCCGGCATAGTCCGGAGGGACTGCCCGCCCACCAGCATTACTGGCTGGTGGGAATGAAACACCCAAAAGTTTTTTTTTTTCAGCTGGCAGCTCCAATATTCCACCGACCCACGGCAAGGAAGAAGGAGTTCCATCACCAGCCACCCCCGTTTTCTTTGCCGTTAGCCTCCGAGTGCCAGTTTGTTGAGTAAGTGTTTCAACCAGCGTTTTTTGGTCTTGCTCAGACTTTTTTTTTGTATATATATATTTTTCTTGCCTGTATTTGTATTTTTCACTGTATATATTTTGTTTCATGTTTGTTCTTACTTATTTGTTATTCTAGTTGTAGTGTTAGGATATAAGTTAGGCTTAGTGTGTGTAAATAAACTGTTTAAAAAGAAAGCAAAGACTTATCACCTTGACGTATGAATAAACCTGCCTTGGAAAGAACTTGTGTCAATTCTTTTCAGAAAACAACTGCTTCGTTCTTATCATTTACTCCCGTAAGAACATCATCGACGTAAAAATCTTCTTTTATGACCCTTGCTGCTTTGGAATAAGTTTGTCCCTCATCGTCTGCTAACTGGTGTAGACAATGAATCGCTAGGTAGGGTACTGCAGTTAGTCCAAAGGTTACTGTGTTTAATTCGTATGTTTGTAACTTGTTTTTATCCTTCCACAAAATAAGTTTACACTTTCTATCTTGTTTCCTTATTAAAAACTGGCGGTACATTTTTTCTAGATCAGCTGTTAAAACAACAAGTTGCTTTCTGAATAGAACTAACGAAGAAAAAAGATCAAATTGAATTGTTGGACCAACATAATATAGACAATTAGGTATTCAAGGAGACACCTTGGCGGTCATACCGGACTCCATTATCACGGCATGATTTAGTAAATAATAGTGATATTGAATCTTCGTTCACTGATGACATATGACCTAGTCTCATACATTCTTCTAGAACCTCATGATATTGTTTATTAAGTTCTGGGTTGCGTTGTAGCTTGCGTTCAGTTGCTTCTAATCTTTTACTGTCAGATGGTAAGATTCGTCTAGTTCTGAACACTGTGGTTTAAAGGGTAAAGCGACGACAAACCTTCCATTGGAAGTTCGTCTTAAATGTTTTTAAAAATGGACTTAGCATTGTTGTTCTTCATTTGAAAATTGGTTTACTTCAGCTCCAAAAATTTATCTAAATCAATTTCTAATGTTGTTGTTAAATGACATGAGCGAATATTCTTAGGGGATCTCGATGTTGGAGCAGCAGCACCAATGATCCATCCTAATAATGTTTTCTGTAAATATAGTTCTCGGTTTTCCTCTAACGTGACTTGATTTTGACCAATTTACAACAATAAAACAGTGGTACCTGCTCCTAAAAGAATATCAATTGGTGCAGGTTTATGATAGTCCGGGTCTACTAGTTTTACATTCGCTGGTATGTCAATTGCCTCTTTACAGCAGCAGCAGGTAAAAGTTGGTCTGTGTTCTGTCGGNTGATAGTTGTTAAGGTTCAGTGAACATGACCCGAAGCCAACAAGGTAGATGTTCAATGGACCTTAACATCATCATCATAAACGTAATTAAACTAAACTAAATAGCGGAGATCCAGGGATGGGACCGTTGTCATTGTTAAGAACAATTTGTTTATTTTTATAAATGTATAAACTTTCAAAACTGTTTAGTAAACGATTATTCCTAACTTCTTTAACTAACTTAAGGTTATTAATATTAATATTATGTCCATCAGTAAGAATATGTTGGGCAACACTAGATTTTTCTTCTCTACCAAACCTAGCATGAGCTAGATGTTCTTTAAATCTGGTTTTGATTGAACGTCTAGTTTGTCCAATATATTTTTTACTACAGTCATTACAACTAATTTCATATATCCCCGACTTTTCTAAGAATGGAATTTTATCCTTAGGGTTACCAAGGAGAGTTTGAATGGAGTTGCCATTTGAACTGTAAGCAATCCGTAAACCAAGTTTTCGAAAAATACCCTCGAGTCCGCGAGTAAATCTTGGCTCGTATGGCATAGTAATAAACTTGGTTTTATTAGCATCTGTTTGAAAAGTCGTAGATCTTGAAATAAAATTCCTAAATTTTATCTTATTAATTAATTTATCAATAATGTTACAATTGTAACCATTGTCTTTTGCAATTTTCTTAATTGTACAGAGTTCCTTTTCCTGAACGTTAGAAATTCACACAGAATTGGCTTATTCAATTTTAACTGCAACCTGTTTATACACGCGTTCTTTTAATTAATGATAAGCACATGCAGTTTAATGTATTTTATGGAAATAAATGTACTTGATACTTATCATTATTCATTACTTCAGAAGTCCACTTACCCTTTCCATTTTAAACTAGACCTCAAAAGAATTGCAAAAGACATTCTATGTTTCTTATCGATATTTAGTAGTTCGTATTGGGCAATAACGACAAGTTGAAAAGAAAACGAAATGCACAACAGGAAAATTTCAAGTGTAGCGAAAACGTTTCAGGGAAAAACGGTACTTCTGACAGGGGCGACAGGGTTTCTGGGAAAATTGGTACTGGAAAAACTTTTACGAACTTGTCCAAAAATTAAAAGAATATACATCATAGTGAGAGCTAAAAAGGGAAAAGACCATATACAAAGGAGAAATGATGTATTGGAAAATGTAGTAAGTATTTGCTTTTGAAAAATGTTATAGTTGGTTTAAATTTTTTTTTAAACTAAAAAAGAAAAATCTAGAAAAAGTGCTGTATTTGTATATGATGATGAACGTCGAAAAGGATTGAAACATTTTGTGAGAATAAAAAAAATCATTACGGTTTAAAGAACCATAACCGGCATGAAAATGGTGTCCTTGAATTGCGCCAACAGGAATATGCATTAAGTTAACTTCCGGTCGGGCGATACGCACTTGTGTTAATGTGTTTCAGAGTTTCAAAAATATTTACAAAAGGCTTGTGTCTGTAAAATTTCTGACTTTGGCTAGGAAAAGTCTTATAAGAGTATCGGATATGGTTTGAGATAACAATATCTGGCACCTACAGGTGTTTAAAAAATTTCGTGATAACTAAGTAGCTCAATAATCCAAAAAATTACGAATTTTATTCCTTGGATGTTTTGAAAGATTCTAGTTCTGACTTCATATATTTTTTTATAGATTTTTGAACCCCTTAAAAGAAATACAATTGAAATTTTTGAAGAAAAAGTAGAAGTAATCGCTGGAGATCTCGCCGTTTCTCAATTGGGGATATCCCCAGCTGATCAAAAGAAGATATTGGAAGAAACGAATTTTGTGTTCCATATCGCAGCGACAGTAAATTTCGATGAGAAGATAAAGAAGGCGGTCGAAATCAACATTAAAGGTACTAGAGACATTTTGAAATTGGCAAAACAGATGAAATGTTTGCAGGTATGTATAAGCGATTTTTTTTGGTACTAAATAAATAATCTATACTATGCTGACGCTTCTACAGGGGTTTGTTTATATTTCAACTGCGTATTCTAATTGCCCGCGACATGAAATTGAGGAAAAGTTTTATGATCCGCCGTATGAAGTGGATAAAATTATAAACATCGTGGATTCATTGGACGATGATCTCCTGCAATATCTAACGCCAAAGTAAGGATTCTCATAATCAGTATTTCAATGACTGTTGTTTAATAAATATAATCGATGGAATTGATCATGAAATAAGCGCATATTAGGGTTGATTGTTAAGAACAGGACGTAGACGGCATTACATAGTACCTACAAAAAAAATACCAGAAAGCATGTGAAGTTAAAGGTTTCGAGTTTGCTGACGTTTCGTCTTCGATCATGCATCAGAGATCGGAGTACTTCTCCTAAACAAATGTAGCGTCCAAATTCAGAACCTAAAACTTCACAGTGATCGATGACCTACTATTTTTACCCTTACAAAGAAAAGGGACATTCATTAAACATTTTCCATTTATTCAAGGATGTTGAAGGATTGGCCGAACACATATGTGTTTACAAAATCCATTGCCGAACACGTTGTAAAAACCGAATCAGATGGGTTGCCTTTATGCATTGTACGACCCTCTATAGGTAAGGGTTGTCATCATCATCATCATCATCATCATCATCATAAGGTCATCAGTCCTAAGACTGGTTGGACACGTACCTCCACTCTTTCCTATCCTGAGCTAATCTTTGCATTTCCGTAAAACCAGAACAACTCACATCCTTAACTATTTGCGAAGAGTAATCTAATCTAGGTCTACCTCTACCCCTCCTAACTCCTGTTTCTGCCTCTAATATGTCTCTGACTAGACCTTCATGCCTGAGAAGGTGTCCTACCAACCTATCTCGCCTATTTCTTATTGACTTCCATAGAGTCCTCTGTTCTCCTACTCTTTCTAATACCTCTTCATTTCTAACCTTTTCTACCCACGATATCCTCATCATCCGCCTATAACACCACATTTCGAAGGTAAGGGTTGTAGGCGATATATTTTTATCTTATTATTTTTCATTGTATATTATAATGAAAATGGTAAGAGAGGAGGTACAAGTGTGTTTTTGTTCAATTATGCGTACGTTGCAGTGATGTCCACGTATCAAGAGCCGTTATCAGGCTGGGCTGGCAATGTATTCGGGGCAATCGGGGCTGTAGCCGCAGGAAATGTCGGTTTAATAAGGACGATGTGGGTGAAGCGTTATAAAATTGCAGACATAGTTCCTGCCGATTTTGTTGTAAATTGTATTATCTCTGCTGCATGGGACATTTCGAACGATAGGTAACGAGATGATACATTAAGAAGAATTGTAAATATCAAGTGAGACGTAGCGCATCGCCATCTGCAGATTTTTTTGTTTACTACAGTATTTCGTATGATTGTTAAGGGTTTTATCCTATCGCCAAAGTAATTTAATAAACGACATTGAGTTTTTGATCAGCATTCAATTTATTACAATTATCGGATTTGAATCGCAATTTTAAACTTATTAGCACGTCATAATGCTACGAGTTATTACAGTTAGCAATAACTATCAATAGATGGCGATATACTACTAGTTACTTGACCATTGCCAATAAGTCTTAAACCGCTGAACAAGAACTTGCGTACTTATTGTTATTAATGTCACAATTGCATTTTCCCCAGGGAAAGTTGCGTCGCCGAGCCAGCGATGAGTTTAGAATCCAAAGAGAAGACAACAAAAATTTATAATTACGTGTCCGGACCCGAAAACTCAATAACTTGGGGTATGAATTCGTAAACAATTATTTTGAAATAGTTTACGTAAGTTAGTGCGCCCTCCTACTTTTTGTTCCAGGGAAAACATACGAGTATACAAAAGAATCGGGCAAAACAGTACCGTCGAAAGCGTGCCTGTGGTATCACTTCTTTGTGCCCGCCTCTACCGAACGAATGTACAAAGTCTACATGATCTTTTTGCATATAATTCCGGCATACATTGTGGATTTTATTGCGAAACAGTCTGGGCGAAAACCACAGTGGGTATACACTTCAGTATAATCGACACAGAATCGTTAATCGTAAGACTGGTTGGGCCCCGCACTCTCCCTCTATCTTATCCTGAGCTAATCCTGGAATTTCCTTCAAACAGGAACATCCTCAACTATTTTATGTAAACACTAATCGAATCTAGGTCTACATATATCACTCTTCCATTTCTGTATCTCATTCCTACATTTTAAGTATAATTAACATTTTGTCCTATTTAACATTGGTCTTCCCCTAATAGTTTTTCCGCTCTTTTTCCACCGAGGCTTTCCCCGTCTCGTAAATGTGGTTAAGTATTCTATCCTCTTGATGTTTTAAGATTTCCGCGTGTATCCCATCCATATCTGTTACCTTATTATTTTTTATTTTTTTTCTCTCTCCCTTGTTATGGATTAGTGCCATTTCCACTTGCACCCCGTACGTTATCTTCCCTTATACATTTTACTATTTGTCTTTTAACAAACAATGCTTATACCTATTAGTTATTTCATCATCATCATAAGGTCGTCAGCTCTAAGACTGGTTGGACGCGCATGTCCACTCCTTCCTATCCTAAGCTAATCTTCGCATTTCCCTAAAACTAGAACAACCCACATGCTTAACTATTTGCGAACAGTAATCTAATCTTCTTCTACCTCTACTCCACTTAACTCCCGTTTCTGCCTCTAATATGTCTCTGACTAGACCTTCATGCATATTTTGTATTGACTTCCATAGAGTCCTCTGTTCTCCTACTCTTTCTAATACCTCTTCATTTCTAACCTTCTTTATCCACGATATCTTCATCATTCACTGTCTGTAACATCACATTTCTAACCTTTTATTTAACGCCGCGCGTGTTTCGCACCCGTACAGCGCCGCGCTCCAACCATGCATCCCTGTCTGACTCCCTTCCTAATATCTACTTCTCTACGTTGTAGACCCAGCTCTATAACTGCCTGTTGCTCTTTATACAAACTAAGTATCACCCCTTCATTTCTAACCCTATTTATCCACGACATCTTCATCATTCACTGTCTGTAACACCACATTTCGAACGCTTTTAACCTTTTATTTACCGCCGCGCATGTTTCGCACCCGTACATCGCCGCGTTCCAACCATGCATCTCTGTCTGACTCC